TCTTAGTAACTCTTTCCTAAATTCTTTAGGGTATATAATATTCTCTTGTTCTTTAGGATACCAAGTTGGATCAATAAGTCAAATTGTATATTGCTTCTTTTGCCTTCTGTATCGAATACTGACTTTTTCGATTTTTTTTTCTTTTAACTTAGACTTAATTACATGTTTCATATACCAAAGACAAAGCTGCACTATTGCTTGAGACCAAGCTTCCTGAACAGCAATAATCTCCCCAGCATCCTTATCCAAAAGTATAAAAACTGGTAGAATACCTTCATTTCATAATTTAATAAAAACTCCTTAAGCACCCTGACTTGTGTATATACATTATTATTGGGATTTGAAAGCCGTTTTTCTGATGCAGAGCATGTACTTACATATAAATATGCAAGAGGAACACCATATCCACCATAGTTTGTATTTACTGCAAAGAGTTTAAAATATTCTTGATTCGTTTTGAATATCGAATCTATAAAAATCTTGCTGATACTTTCTTGTAAATTTCGAAGAAACGGGGTGATAAATTCTAAAGAATATATAAAGTCATTTTCTCAATAGTAAATAACTTTATATCCCATTTCTACCAACTCCTCTTTTTCTAAGAAGTTTCTTGCAGATATTAATTGATTAGCTACATCAGTTATATATTCAACCTGTGAAAACTTATGAGTCCAATAGTACACTTGCTGGTAAGTATGAACTGATGGATCAATTAAACTTTTTTCACATAGTTGTTTATAAAATTCTATTTTTCTAGAACTTTGATTAATATGCTTTTTATCTATTCTATAGCATTTAAAGGTAAATTTGATTCTCTATATGTGGGGCGCTTATAAAACAATTAATGCTTTACAGATATTGTAATATGCTGCTTGCATAGATCTACTTTAATAACTATAGCACTATCACAGGCATACCGCTCAATAGCAGGCCAAGCTTCACTTATTCACTTTACAGGTTGGTTATCTTGACATTTATGTTAACAATCAATTCTTTGAGTACAACTTAGATGAGCAGTTGCATATCTAGTATATTGATTATTTTTTTTATTAATATATAGATTTCTAAGCTCCCAATAATATTCTGATCCCTCTTGGAGAGATATAAATAACACATTGACAATGTTACAAAATTTTTGTTCTTTATTCTCAAATTTAAGAGACAAGATTTCATCATTAACCAATTCTCTTTCAATTTCTACTATTATGAAGAATTCAACAGGGTCATTTCTTTCTTCATTCTCTCTAAATTTGCATGATACAAACCCTTCAAAATCACATACATTATATGTAAGTTCATCTTCACTGCTATCAGCATTTACCAACATTTCTTCATTTAAAAAAAGGGAAGAAAGATTCTCATTGTCAGATAATTTTTCTCTAAGACATTTCTCTCTTTTACTTAGTTTTTCTTTTTCGGCACAGATATTGCACAATTCACATATTTGAATCTTGTTTCTAGACAGCCTTTGAAATTCAACAATAGGTTTAAACTTTTTATAGCGAGAACATTCTTTATATTCTTTATTGGTGTTATGTGTTTCAATATTTTGGAAAGACATTTTTTTAATCTTGATTTGAATATAGAAGTTTTTATTTTTTACTTTATTTTTTAATAAAACGTGTTGCGATTTAAAAAAAGAACAAAATATGTCCTTATATACTTGAGTAAATAATAAGTTATTCTTTATTTACTAAATAAAATACATTATACATTTTATATTCATTTATTGTATACGTAACAGTATTGCAATTAACTTATTTTTCAATTTAATTTAATAGCTATTTTACAAATTTGCATTTTGTGTTTTAGTTTTGTATAAGTATATATATGATGTCTTAGCTGATTTATTATCAATTTAATTTAATAGCTATTTTACAAATTTGTATTTTGCATTCGGTCTCAACCAACTTATAATTATACTTAATCGATTTATGATTAACAATAAGCATAGAGTTGCATAAAAACCAAAGGCATGTATAATATTTCAGCTGATTTAAAATAATACATGATGGTTTAGCTGATTCTCAACAATTAACAATTGATATTTTATTTAGTTTTTAAAACAAAAAAAGATAAATAAATATGATGTCCTGGCCAATCTGTAATATAGTAGTTAACCGATTCTTAAAAAATGAGAATAGGAGTATTCGTTTACCTTTTAAAATCACAAAAACGAAAAGAAAAAAATAAACATCTCAGTCGATCTGTAATTATGCATAATTACTTGACAGATTGACAATGGTTATTATGATAGATACTACTTTTTTCAGCCTTTGAGATACAACAAAAGATTACAGTTAAAAAATCTGTAACAAAATTTTTAAATCTAAGGTATGTTTCCTGACAACTTAGCAATATTTTGCCAAAATTCTGTTTTTACTTCTAGGCAACACTCATATTTTATTTAACTGTGGTTATTTCAGACAAGCTGGGCATCTTTATAATATTTATATAGATAAACAAGTTTAGCTATCAAATCTGTTTTTCATCTAATTCTTGCAGACTTATATTTTGTAATAATTATTATTTATTAAAGCAATATAAATCTTAACACAGTTCCAATAAATATTAATAAAATCTTGGTTTTTGGAATAGTAACTTGTGCTATATATTTTTTTTTTAAAACCAGTAATCAATTCTTGTTCATATTGAACTTTTTTTTATTAGTACCTGCACATGTAAAAGCAAGTCTTATATTTGAACTAGAGTCACCAAACTCATGCAAATTAAACTGCATTTTTATGTAATAAAAAATTTTGATTATGCAATATCAGTGTAATTAAATTAAATTAGAGCAATAACAATAACTAGCAATTATTACTATGCCACACTGTGATTGTTTAATTAATTACAAGTCAAATTTAGACCAAAAAAGTTACATATTATGTACATTGGCTTTATTATATTGATATGATGCAATATTGCATTTTGCATAAATATCACACTAGTTAAATCAAAAAAGACAAATTTACCATACATTTTATATGTCTAAAATATAATAGCACAAGTCTGAATGTTCGAATCTTGAGCTGCACCCAAAACTTAAGTAAGAGAAGTATAATTTTAAAAAATGTCTTGAGCTGTACCCAGAAATAAGAGAGGTATAATTCCAAAAAACAAGGTCTTAAAGCACTTAAGTAGGAGGGTGTATTGTACCAGTTCTGGGTTCAAAAACTTAATTCTAGTCTTTATAATACTTCCTGGTGAAGTACAAGACCTACAAAAAAGAAAAGAAAGCATTAGTAAAAACACAAAACACGAAGAGTATAGTGACTTAGTGAAGTGGTTAAGTTGTCGCACCCTGAGTATCAAGATCTAGAGTTTAATTCCTACTAGTGATGATATTTGAAAAACTATATTTTGAATATCCTTTTATAAGAAGAATATACGAACTTAATTGGTGCCGGTCTCTGACTGTAATTATTGTTATATCAACTCGATTTGAAAAATGGATTGGTGCCCATTGTGTAAAAGATCCTACAAGGCTAATCTCAATTAGGAAAGTTACTTGCAAAGTTCTGAATATAGTATCCATCTTATCCGAAAACTCATACTGCAGGGGGTCTTGATTAGGAATATGGAGGAATACAAGCTGGTATATATAAACATATCCCTGAATGTTGTAGAATAGTCAGTGCAAACTTATGATGAATCTATATAAGGATTATTCTAGCCATATAGAGTAAGACTATATGTAAGCTTTACAAATATGCAATATGTACACAAACACATATACAAATATTAACTAAGACTAGCCTGTCTAAAACTTGAGGATAAGACATTAAAAGGCTCTTTGAAAAAAGGTCTGGGATGGTCCTCAAAACATTAGCTATCCCCTGAGTAATACAACATAGGCACAACTTACATTTTATACAGACGGATCAGTTAGTGATATTACTACTAAACAATACACAATAGGTTCAAACAGCCAATGATATAGTATTATATGACTACTCTGCTACAATTCAATTTTGGCTCTCTTCATACAAAGCTGAACTACTCGCAATTCTCTTTGCAATTTGCACATGCCCACAAAACAGCAATATTACTATTTATACTGACTCACAATCTGTAATATCCAAATTCAACAAACTTACTCAACAACCACCCAGACCAAACAAACAATATTCATATAACTACTGGC